ACACACTTGTACATAACAATGTCTGAAGGAGGTTTAATCGACCCCTGGTTTCATTCCTGTACCAACCCAAGGGATGGCCATGAAAGGATACGGCTCCAACCAACCGGAACTCAGAATAGTTATCGCACTTAAAGCTGCTGAACCAGTGGCAGTGAGAGTCCTTGTGGTAGGTGAACATGCCTGGGGAACAGCCAGAGATGTTCATTGGCAGCATGAGAAGGAAGAGGCAACGGTGGCAGGTGACAAACAAGTACATACAGCCTTATCTCCACTTGAATATTTGCTAAACCATCTACTTCAGAGGCTGCTACACCTCTCTTCCTATTTTGGAACAGGAATATCATATTCCAGTTACAACCAAACAATATATTAAGCTAAATAGAAGAAACTTATTCTTAAATCCAAACACACAAATGCAAACATACACTTGCCTAAATTCCAGAAAGCTTCCAAGGGCAGAGGAGTGTCAGGGTTTCAATAGCTTGCAGAGCTTTTGCTTATTCTTGTGAGCTTGTCAGTAGGTCTAACAAGTCACTAGCACTTCTAGAAAACTCTCAGTTTTCTCCTCAGAAGAGAAATGGAAACAACCCTTTCAAAGGTCTGATTCCATTTCAGTTATAACAGATTTAAATTATCCTTGCCCTACTCCATAAAACAGCCAATGGTCTTCTCCCATCTGCCTAGAGGTAAATCATGATCTGCCTCTGCATAAGGATTATCAATTAGTAATGCTCTGCCTAATACTGGATTTATGAAGAATTCACACGCATTGCTGTTTTGATAATTTAAAGTGAATAAGTTTTCACATTGTACTTCAGAACGTTTGAGGACTCACCGTAATCTGGGTGAAAAATCTGGCGAATCAGCAGAAGAAACCACTCTTTTGTCAGGCCACCCATATCAAGACCAGCTTCCCCTACAAATGTGACTTTCAACTTCTTTTTCAGATCTGCTCTCTTCCTTGCTAGCTGTTGCAGAACAGGTAGGGAAGAAGAAAAAGGAGATTTTACCATAATATCACTATCTCTAGCCACAGAGGACATGGCTTTGTCTCAGCTGCTTTTGCTTTGTTTAAACTAGTAATTTGTGTCATCTCCTACTAATAGGTCAAGACTGTATTAAAACAGTGATTGAACTGTAGAAGTGAGATGGACCTATGTAAGTTTTTGCATACACAGAAGATATTTTGCCAGGAATAAATGACAGATTAAAAAAAAA